AATTTTAATTTTTATATAAAAATATTTTTTTTTGGTGCAGTATTTTGGCCGCCCTAGGCAACTGCCTATATTGCTTAATGGGTTAAAGCAGCCCTAGATACAACAAAAATGTGTCATTTTCATTCTAGACGGTAATAGTACCTTAAATGCCGTAATTTTGCTATTTTTTGGCATTAATTTTGAAATATTTACATTTAAAATTATTGGATCAAGATGTAACAAAAATAATTTTGAGTTTTTTTTTAAGAACAAATGGCATTTTGTAAAAATGATTTATTTTTGTTGGTTTACGAATTATAATCATTTTCACAATTAAATTGTTTACAACAAATTCCCGTCACTTACGACGCGAAAACAAGTTTAAAATTCGAATTCACATTCCGAAACTCTGTGGTCTTTGATCCTTCACAAAACAGGCCCATTATGTCTTGCAGTTTATCGAACTAGTCCTTGAGATTCAGAGCCACAATAATTATTATGTTAACAAAGGCGCGAAGGAGCAGCTTGCCTTGCCGAATATAAAACACACATCTATATACTCCACACCGTAGCTGCGAGTATTGACTTGAAGCGCTCACACAATCCATGTATTTATTAATTATATATTTTTTTGTTGTTTTAAAGTTTGATTTTTTCGTCTCTGAGACGAATATTTATAATGTTTGTGCATTCTTAGTATTTATTTAAGATTTCCGCAAAAGCAGATATATTATCTTTGTTATTTTACTTCGTTTGGTATGTAAATAGATTATTGTATATGTTAAATCGAAGAACTTTATTTATAAACAATAAATAAAATATTGTTCAAAGTTGTTTTTATTACCTAACTTCATTTTTTAGGAATGGTATATTATAGAAGAACGTTTTTAGTATCAAAATCTGAGTCATAAGTCTGTTTTATGCTATGATAATACTTTCTACTATGCTTTCTAATGTATGATTCTGTAATAAGTGTGGCTTAAGTCAGGATACATCTTTACAGGTACTTGTACAGATATTTAGAGTATCTTTCATCGACGTTTCAAAAGCTTTCAAAACAATATAAAGCATTAAAAACGCATAAAACTTCTTAAATCCACAGATCTAGACTCAAACGAAATTAATAATAAAAGCAAACTTACTTATACTGGAATGAGTCTGCAAGAATAAATCAAGAGAAACTTTTCAGAAAATTTTCTAATAGAAAAAGGAGTTCGACAAGGATGCGTGCTAATCACCCTTTAATCGGTACTCAGAAGCTATATTTAGCGAAGTGTGATGTTGGATTAGAAGATCCCTCTCTTTAATTGAAGGATCGCCGTAAAAATATATATATTTAATAGCAATTTAACCCTCCATTGCAAGAATTTATTTTATTTAATTTTTTGACAAAATAAAATAATAGTATATTACTTTATGAGGCGGAGAAGCAAGACTTTTCTTGACGCGCCCGATATTACGCGCCTCACTTTGTTCGGCGCGTAATATCGGGCGCGTCAAGAAAAGTCGCTTCTTTGCCGAATAAAGTATACTATTTTTTCTTCAAACGTAGCAATTTTCAACCATAAATAGTACAATTTATACGCTATTTTTACTCGAAATTAACTGTGACAACTATCAAACTCGCCTAGATGTTAAAAATAAAATAATTAAGTCGTCGGTGGGATTTGCGTCTCCCTGGTTACAGTTGTTTGAAAGTTGTTTGCAATTATTAGACAGCTTATTGTTGTTGCAACCGCAAGCGCAAATTTAGTGCGAAAATGGAAAACCTAAACGAAATTGAGTCCGCGGCTAATGATGCAGTAGCACGTTTGGGGCCCTCCAAGTCAGAAATAAAGAGTGGTGCGATACAAGAGGAGTACGGCAAGTTACCGAAGACGTTTTACTGCAAAGCATGTAGTATACTCTACTAACTTATAAAAATATTTCAGATTGTTTTGTTAATTGGGGTTACCGGCGCATGTCGATGCTACGAAATGGTAAAAATGAAGACTATGGACATTGAGGATAAGGAAAATGTAATAATTATCAAAATCCCAGACAGTAAACACGACAAATTAGATCTTTTACGATAATTGGTCAAAACTACATTAAACTGTATAACAAGTATGCATCACTGCGGCCTGAAAATTTCACAGAAAACCGATTTTTTATCAAGTACCAAAATGGAAAGTGTTACCGAATCGTCATGGGAATACATTCGATCAGCGCAGTAGCCCAGAAAGTAGCTAGGTATTTAAATTTAAAACGATGCAAGCGCATACACGGGTCACTCTTTACGACGAACTTCAGCAACACTTTTAATTGATGGAGGCGGAAATCTAGAATGCATCAAACGACATGGGGACTGGAAATCAAGCACGGTTGCCGAAGGATATATAGAGGATTCAATAAGAAATAAGAACGATAATGCTCAAATAATTTTAAACCCTCATGATTCGACAACATCGGGAATGATTGCTGAAAGTTGTTCTCGACCATCAGTATCATCAACAATTACCAATGCGTATCAAGAGTCGGGAACATTTTTTGCACGGTTTCAATTTTGAAATGCCTCATTAACTAATTGTACTTTTAATATTACTATAAATAAAAATGATGTTTAATTGTTGTTAATGACATTTGTATTGTTGCTTTGTGACATGTTTCATATTGTTGCCATGACAACATTTTTCTCTGTGCCGTAAAGAAATGGGAAAAAACTGCTGCTGGCGGAGACATCAAACTTTGACAGGATCAAGTTAGATAAGTAATGTCATCATTATTTGAGGTTTGAAGAAAAAATGATATTAAATTACTCTTAATAGATGCATGTAGAATTCACCGTTACACATTTTTTTTAAATGTTCCGATTTTTGAGAAAAAAATTGTGCCCATTTGGGAACATTATGTATAAAACTTTTATTAGAACCAATTATCATACACATTAGATCGATGTATTGTCTGTATCAAACTATTAAAAATTTTGAAACTTATTAAAACAGTAACTACTTTTAGAATGAATGCATAAATGCACCTTACATTTCTCGCACTGGACCTTTACAGTTTATCCTACATCTTTCCCTGTTTACAGTCCAGTTAAGCCAGTGTGAAAACTGATCTGTTTGTAGATATATATTGGGTCTAGGTTGGACGGTTGTTCGGGTGTGGAGTCGTGTGTGCCCTAGGTATGATTTTTTGTTATTTTGATAGTTTTTATTATCTCACGAGCGGCATCTACTCTATTTCAGATAATTTTATTGGTCTGCATCGCTCTCCAGGGTATTTGGAGCATTCTTCTAAGCAACCACATCTCAAATGCCTGTAGGCGATTGATTGTATCAGCCTACAGAGTCCAGGTCTCGGTGCCATGTAACAACACTGACCAAATATAGCATTTGATGATTCTTTGACGTAATTTTAGGTTTAAGGTGTGGTTACACAAGATTAATTTCATTTTGCGAAACGTTGTGCGAGCTGCTTCCCGCTTGGACCATCCATAGTAAATTAAAAAACATAATCGATTTACGTGCAATTCAACTTTGGATTTAAACATAAGGTACCGATTTATTAAAAGCAGATCTCTCAATTTAGTCAGTTCTATTGTATGGCATAACAAATTGGTATTTAAAGTTAAGTACCATCAACAGACTGGAAATATTTGAAATGTCAACAAATACATAACAAATGAAGAAATTCTAAGGAACGTGAGATGAAAAATACTACTGATAACAATAGAAAGATAAAAACCCCTATGTACGACATACTAAACTTACAAATCCAAGCTTACTGGAAGTTATTGGACGATGTTAGGAATAACCTTTTACTCCGACAATACATCTACAATTTATCCTTGAAAATAGACGTTGAAATAAAAGTAGACGTTGAAATAAAAGTAGACGATTGAATTTCTTCTCAGTTTAAGTTCCATAATTTTTCTACACGTGTTTCAAACTCGTCAGGAACACTTGTGGTAGCACGAACTAAAATTAAATGCTTCTTATCTATATGACCGTTATAAATGCAATCGCCTACTTTCATTTCAATTTTGTAATAGGTAAAATAGAAGGAAAACGAGTAGTCAATAATACACATTGCTGAAAGACATCTGCCATTGGACTAATATAAGCACAACAGCATTATTTCGAACTACCCACAATGGAGGAGTGTATATTATTATGTTTGCAATCTTTTATTAATAATTCAGTTTGTATTTAAAGCAGATGAGAAAGCTTCTTTGTCAGTGATGTTTTGTCAAGTATCATGTTTATATCCCGGCTGTCAATGTTCATGCCTGTGAGTATCTTTATGAGTGTATGGTGTTACGCTTAATCGCCTATATAAAACAATTAATGTGTAGTAAATATTGAACAACCATGCCAAAATTACCTAATCGTTTCTAAACCAGTTGTAAAATCAGTGTTCTGTAGGACTTCTGCTATTTTTTTGGTAAGTTCATCTTTTAATGTTCTCTTAATATTATATAACCGGCAGTGCCACATTCAGGACAGCATTATATTTCAACTCAGCCTCATTCAAAACCTATAGCATACAGACATGCTTTCTTAAGCAGACATACAATTTATGAAAATTTTATAAGAAGTGGTCACTTCTGTCGGCACTTCCTAAGTGTTGCGCCCCGGTTTTTATTACCGAAGAGATTACTAAAACTATTTATTTTTAGGAAGAAGAAGTCATTACGTGAATTTCGCAAAAAAACCAGTAAGCAAAAAGAAGAAAGTTTACTCAAAAAATATGGGTTTAACAAACATTTAAAAATTTCCATAGTGAAAAAAGACTTACTACAAAAACAGAATGGCCAGTCTAGTGACAAATTGAAAGCACCTACAAAAATTGTAGATAATGGTATAGATAACACGAAGAAGACTATGCCACGCAGAACAGCAAAAACATTTATATTGTTGTATTCAATGCAATGTTCATTTTGACTCCATTGAGGACGTAAAAAAACATCCTTCAAATAACTGCAAATTTAATTGTCTTAACTGCAAGCAGTATTACAATACCAACAGTGCTTTCAGTGTTCATATTTTCCAACACAAGTTCAATCTCGTCTTACCTAGCGAGGATCGATACAAATGCTCTGTTTGTTCCGCTGCCTTTCCAGATGTGATAAAATTGACATCCCACACGTTGCTAGGCCACAAAACAAATCCTGTTACTGCAGACAAACATAATTTGAACAACAACGAGGATACTGAAGAAGACATCTCTTGCGAGCTTTGTTTTGACATATTTGACTCAAAAACGGAATTAGAAAAGCATATGGAGTTCCATAACGAGCTTGCCAATGCTAGTAATGTTACCACTGAAAATACAATTATTCGTTTATCTTTCAGTGACGATGAAGAAATCTAGCAATCTCAGGCTATTAGTTTTACTACTTTGTATTGAACACGTTGATCACACAGACCACACATTAGACCTATCTATCTAGGAAAATATCCGAATTTGAGTCTAAATATTTGCACTTTTGTATAATTATAATTGATCTTTAAGTTTAAAATATTTACAGGTCCAAAAATACTGGAAGTTTCAGATAAACTTGTTAATTTAATATTCCATATATTTTTGACAGACTTTCTTAACTCTACTACTTATATCTAGTTTAGGACTGTTGGGTATCTTATAGAATAATTAAGACCTTTTGAGAGCATCAGGTCTCTTGCGTTCAACTTAATTTTGTATAAATTGAAAAATTTGATAATACTTTCTGATAAATTTGAACATCAGTAACCTCAACAACATAAAAATTATCACTATCTGCACACCATGCTTCTCTGTGACGTCTGTATACAAGACACCTAAGGAAGATTTCATTTTTACCGAATCTGGCAGTTTTAACTACTATAAAACCAATTTATTCTTTGGCGATTTTAATTGTCAAAGTACTATATAGGAGAGACTGATGACAATGGTAGACGGTTGGAGCTATGGGCTGATAATGGCCAACTACACTGATTCTTGACTCCAAATTTCACTCATCTTTTAACTCATCTTTTCACTCATCTCAGTGGAAGAGAGGATATAATCCGAACAATACTTCTTTATATCCAGCTAAGTAGCAGCTCAGTATAAAAAGTATATCGAAAATGCAATTCGCCGCACCCAACACAAAACGTTAATTTTAACTATGAGCGCGTTAGCAATACTACAAGAAACGTCATTTAAAGAAGATTTAATTTAAAAAAGCAAATTGGGAAATATTCTCCTCAGATCTCGATAACGACTATCCTAAAATTCGATCAACAACATAAAACTATGACAAATTTATCAAATTGTGAAAACTGTTTCTATAAGAAACATTCCCCGAGGATGCCGGATACACAATGTTCAAAGACTAAGTCCAGACTCGGTTCCATTGGTCAACCGGTATCAAAAACTATATAATGAATACCCTAGAGAAATATTACTTGCTGCCATCTCAGGCGAACGAAGATCCAAATGCTACAATCTCATGGAAAATGTGAACATGTCACAGAATAGTGGACCTGCTTGGAAATACCTACTGAAGAATCTTAGCCAGGACCCTAGTGAAAAACAACAAACTAGTTACAACAAATAAAGTGGCCTTACAACTCCTTAAAAATGAGAGACGACAGAACAAGTCAGCTGAGCGAACCTTTAAACCAAATTAAGAAGTTTGGACCAAAAACACTACAATTTCCCCTTTAGATGATGAACAGCTGTGAACAAAACTATGCAATTATACCCAAAGTGTGGAAGCCAAAGTCGTTGCTTTTCTTAAACCCGGCAAATATCCCACTGACTCAAAAAGCTGTCGGCCAATATCTGTGCTCTATTCAAAATACTTGAGGCATAATCCTTAATAAAATTTCATCCAGAGTAAACGAAAGACTCATAAAAAAACAAAGTGGCTTTAAATCGGGAAGATTATGTACATTACAAATACTAAATACTTAACACATCGAAGACTGTTACGAAAGACAGCAGGTATCCAGGTCAGTACTTGTTGATCTTACTACCGCTTACGGCACGTTATAGTTTATTTTTATGAACGAGAGAGTAATTAGCATAATTTTAACTCTTACCTCCGACCACTCCATGGGCGTGCTCAAGATTAATTGAAAAATTACTTTGAATAATTGTAAAAAATAAATGAATTATTTCAGTGTTATAAAGTGTTATGTGTATGTAAACAAAAGTGACCTCTTTTATCACACACTATATTAGAACTGACTGGCCTACATTAAAAAGGGTTTTAAAAAATTCACATTTTTTTTTAATTTTTAAAAATTACAAAAGAGAAAAAGAGTTTTTAAAACCGTCTAAGGTATGTTAAATAGATGAATAAAAATATTAATATAAAACTTACAGCTACTTGTTACAAATCCAAATCAGATTCAGAAGATGAACTTTCAGAACCAAGATTTATAATAACTGGCTCGATCATTTTATCAGTAATATTGTCCAGCTTCCACATTTTTTCCTCTTCTTTAATAGTGTGATTTACTGCCTTTTCCCAGTTTTCAGGTTTTACATTATTTACGGCCTCCAAAAAACAACTGTTTAACATCATGAATTTTAAAAGTGGTATTTTTTCTTGAAACTTCACTCTTTATCTGTGCCCATACCAGTTCAATCGGGTTTAATTCACAATGATATGGTGGGGATCTAAGTACTGTCATTCCACGATTTTTGGCAATTTCATCAATTTCGTATTTTTTAAATTTTTCTTTATGAAGGGCACACAACGAATAAAGTTCCTTTCTTATAGATTCGGGATGGTACGTAATATTTTTTGAACTCAGCCAATTCTGCAAGTCTTTTTTTAACCACTTGGTTGTGGGCAGTCCTTCTATAAGTCTGGAGTGATAACTTGCATTATCCATTACTATTACACAGTTCTTAGGAAGAAGATCTATCATTTGTTCGAACCATTCTTGAAAGACATCAGCGTTCATGTCTTCATGGTAGTCACCGGTACGAGTTGATTCAAAAGTTAATAAAACACCTTCAACAAAACCGTCTGAACTGCCAATGTGTACTATTATCAGCCTGCGTCCCTTTCCTGATGGTGGGTTTAAACCAGTAGATAAGTTATTTACAAAAGCGTGCCTTTGACTTGTAACAGTTTCATCCTGCCAAAATTTATTTGGTGTATGACCCTCGTTGATCCATGTTTCATCAAGATAAAATATTTTTCTTTTTTGGTTTCTCATTTCCTTTATGGTTCTTAGAAAATGTCTTCTCCATATGACAATATCGCTTCTTTCTAATAAAATAGACTTTCTGGGATTCTTTTTCCAGCGGAAGCCTATTTCTTTTAAAAGTTTCCATAACGTACTTCGACTCATTTCTGGGTAATCCTTATCATCTCGAACTGAGACAAGAACTTTATCCAATGTTGGAAATTCTTGTCTAAAGAAGAATTCATGCACTTTCCGTCGAAGTCCTTCTTTAAAATGATATTCTATTTGAAATTTTGGTTTCCTGGAGCATTACGTGGCATTTGAAAACTACCACATTTCTCTTCTTTAATAACTCTGTAAATCGTAGATTTCCCAACACCAAGTGTACTGCTAACTAACTCAACGGTCTCATCAACACTTTCACATAAACGTTTGTCTGTAAATGATTTAAAACAATTAAATATTAATGTTTTTTCATTAACTGTTAAAGGACCAATTTTTCGGCGTTTACACGGCACTTCCAAATTTTCCATAACACTAGTATACACAATAAACTGCACCTTGCAACTGAAGTACCTACTTTTAGTGAACTGTTAAGAATTTTGAATACGCCACTTGGACCTTCCTACAAATGGAAAAAACCCACTATCACATTTTCTGTGGAATAAGTTTAGAAGGTAATTATCTAGTCAATTACTGTCGTAGATTCCTGGAATTAAAGAATTAATGTTTGATTGTTGAAACCCTTACTTCGTGGAATGCACTCATTTCAGATAAAATAAAACGTTTTATTTTATCTAAAGAATTAAACTTTATTTTGCAAATAGGTAGGTACTTATTAAACTTTTATTGGTTATATATAACCAATAAAATAAACATCTTACATTTCTTGCAAATTCATTAGTACCTGTTAACCTCCATCACTCCGACACTGGCAACCTTATTTAGGGATTAGTAACCCTCACAACTATTGTATTCTATTCTGCTCCAACCTTTATACCTGGTGGTCATACTCAATTTAAAATTGTTTTCCTATATACTTCTGTAAACTTGTTGACAAATATCTGTTTTTCATTGAGTCACCCGTATCAACAGTTTAGGGATTTGCATACATAATTTATTGTTTTATTACTCTCTCATACATAAAAATACACTATAAATCACAGGAGACTTCTCCCAAACACTATATGACATCACATTAGAAAGTAAAGTCACTAGCGTTATTCACGTCTTCCAACAGAATAGATTTTTGTTATCTTTCAATGGTAAGAATAATAGATGAAGAACACAGAAGAATTGTCTCGCTCAGAGCAACTACACTGTAAATTATGTATACGAAACGACAAACCCATACCAGTAAATACTAGGGATTTCATATGTCCAGAAAAAACACTATTGTTGCACAACAAAACTTTTGCCTAAGAGGGACAACACTAACTGAAACCTTAAACACAATGACGACATACTACGAATCAAACTATCTTAAGCCAAACCTCGGAGACGCTTTCTGAAAACTGAACATTGAATGGTGTAATGAAACCCGTGAACACTCTAATTTTTATAACTATCTGGGATTTCCGTTGGATCCCACAGAAAATATTATTTATTTGTAAGACGGTCAGAATCAATATTTTCGCATGGTTGTAGACAAAAAAAGGACGCACATTATTTTATCCTCAGAACTTAGAGGCTTGTACTCTGTATTGGTGATGTCGAATACGCGTCGCCAGTATGGGAAGCATCAGCACACGCTAGACACATAGAGTAGTAAGAATCAATAGTGGATGTTTGAGAACTACACCCATACATAAGCTCTACACTATCATACTACTTCTAGCTGTACCCATCACTCCACCTGACATCCGAAGAAAAGTAGCTAGAGATGTGGAACCAAAGAAACAAACTCTATATCCGCGACATCCACTCCACGATTACCAGCCTATTTACGTACGAAGACTCAAATTGAGGACCAGCTTTCTGGTCAGATCAACACATCTTCAAGATACACCAGAAAGAAGTCTTGCCAAATGGAAAGAAGCTGTTCCTAGCCACTTGAATCCTCGCGAGGAAGTTTCGCCCGGTAGCCATCTTCCTTTCATGAGCTCTCAATCGTCTGCGAGTTGGAGTTTCAAAGGTTAAAACCAACATGGAGAAATGGTAACCGTTGCCTGCTGACTCCGATACCCTCTGTGATTGTGGGACGGT